CGAGAAGCAACACTGGAAAGTCCACCGTCTCACACCTGCGGACCGCGGCAATATTGGAAACATATTTTTTTTCACATAACAGAAGTGAACATATATCTGAATTCTTTAATAAACTTTCATTATCCGCGTGTTGTATTTACAGTGGTTTTATGCGCAAAAATGAAGCGATGAGCTCACAGTCCTTTTATATTTGTGTTTCCGGCCAGTCCTTGGTGTAGAGTACAGCGTGAGGGCACACCTGCCCTCTGAAGACACAGGTATGGGCGCCTGTGTTAGATCCTCAGGTGAAGTCGAGTCTTCTGCAGTCTGCAATGTAATAACCCAGACCCGCCCGTCGAACAGCACAAACAACAAACTCACCGCAATCGGTTTGTGTCGCTGTAAGTAGCGTTTGTGCTGCTTTCGTTTCCGAGATAAAGCGCCTTTTGGTTTCGGGTAACTCGGTACTTGAGCTCCTGATTGTGATGAAAACAATGGGGGCAATTTGTTTTCCGAGTCTGGTCGGGTGGGGGTGGATGTTTCAATATATTTCAATATAGCGCCTTCTTTCCCTGGCTGTGACGTCACTCTGTGACGTACAAAACAGCAAAGTCACGACCACCAAATCTTTCAGTTGTGATCTTTTGATCAGTTGACCCCAGACTTTGCAGCCTTTACGCGAATAAACAGTCTTACATTTAGGGAGGAGTTACTATGTTAGTTCATTGGGTTAGGTGTTTTCTTTTAATTTTTAACCACGTTCTCGAAAATGTATTTCTTGTGTACTCCTTTCATTGGTGAAGGGACACCAGTTTCCAAATTACCACTGGTACAACACGAGAGCCCATATTCACATTTTTAGGTATTAGTTTCAAGATCGATAGAATTTAACAATAAAAAAACAAAATTTAAAGCATGAGCATAATAATACCTGTGTAATGATCATAGACTTTACAATTCTATTCATTTTTGAAGTACAAAGCAGAGATGTTTCCCCTACCTTAAATATACGATTAAAATGATTTAAATACCATGTATTCATTACAGAAAGCAGCGGAGACAGTTAAACTTTCAAATAAAAAATGTATTTATTTCGAAGAGTACGGGATATCGTGAATCAATAAAAACGTTAAAACTATAAGTCGATGTAGTTATTTTGCAAATAAGTAAAGCATTTTACAAATAGCTTCTCATTGACAGTAAACAAGCCGATCCACCTGGCGCTGCTAGCTTGAACAGCTCTCAGATCCGTGATTGGCTAAACCCCCGAACAGCTCGGGCCGCGATTGGTTGAAAAGTGAGAATCGATACTCTGATTGGGTAAAGCGCCACAGCGGAAGTTCCGAGAAAATGTAGATGCACAGGTGATAGATGTTCTTCTTGGTCCAAATACTGTAGCCCCGTTTAACGGTGTGTGCTGTATGAGAACGCTGGATATTCAGTAACACATCCATTGGTTTCAAATTACTAATCAATCTAAGAAAAAGGTCAAAACTGAATAGCAGTCAAAGAATGTCATGACATCCACAGCGCGTTCACGACTCCGATAGCATGTTACGATAGAAGTGTGCGCATCACGATCACACCCCGATACCCATTGCGACTGGCGCATCAGTCATGGCGCCACTGTTGGAACATTAAGTCCATATATCGCGATATGACATACCCCGACAACCCCAACCTCCCCGCGTCGCGACATGAAGCCCGCATATCGCGATATGAAAAATGCCCCCGCGCCTATGTCGCGACATGAAGCCCGCATATCGCGATATGAAA